ATATAGTGTGTGTGTGTGTGTAAAACCATGTAAAAAGTAGCAATGATGCTAATTTAGCAAGTATCTCACACATTAAAGTTGTGCTTTACATGTCATTTTGTGAAAAAAAAAGTAATTTTTAGCATTACAGTCTGCAGCATAAATATGTGTTTTTTTTTTTTTTTAAGAAAAGGTAGAATCTATGACAAATTAAACAAAAGTCGTATTTAGGCTAGCAATTAGCTGGCTGCTTCAAGGCTAACAATAATGGATCTAATTCTCATTACTGCAGCTGAACACTTTGAACACAAACCATTTGTTTGACGGTTTCAGTCAGCTTGGGGCTAAAACCTCCTGTAGCACATGAACCAGCTCATTACAATTCCTCATGCTACTGGCCAATGTTTCATCTTGGCACTGTCAAAGAAAAGGTTTACCGAGCTGAATTTCACTAAAAATGCCACTTAAGACAACACTTGACCACATTTACTCAGATTTACCTGACCTCTACAGGGGGGGGAAATGAAGAGGATGAGAAAGAAATGAAGCAGTGGCGTGGAGGAATTGTTACAAAAATAGAGGTGGCAGAAGAACATGTGAGAGGGAGTCAGACAGACAGAGGGGAGGGGTGGCAGATGGTGACATGTTGATTTATGAGCTGCGGGGCTTTTCATTAACCGTACTGAGTTTTACAGAAACCATGAGGAAGAGAAAACACTGGAAAGAAAGTATACCAGAAAAAAGCAAGACGGTAAAATGCAAAATTTGTAGAAACCACGAGGAAAGCTTTTGGGGGAGGTACATGAGGGGAGATTTAAGCTGTTTTACCCTATCTGTCGTCATGCAGTGCTTTCCATCACAGGCACACACTCAGACAGGTTGTAGCTTCATATAAAGGTGTCTCTTCTGACTGACAACACTTGTAAAGGTAGAACTTTACATCACCTTAGCTCGTTTTGTTGGCATTCCTGCCACCTGCAGATCTGTCTGCATCAATCTGAAAATCTCATGCTGCCAAATATGAGCTGTTCAGCCACGAACAAAACATTCCTATGTGGGCTTTTTTTGATAGAAGGACAAAGTGTTGCTGAATCAAAAATCCATTTTAGGCTTGGAAGGTTGCACAAAAATAAATAAAACAACATCTGAGTCCTCATATTTGAGGCAAACATAATAAAATGTGGATACATGCATAACTGATAGTTTCATCTACATGATTTGCTTTGTTTCATGGATCCACTTCTTGAACAAAAAAGCTATGCAAGCAACAAGTGTTTGTTTTTTTGTAGATGGCACTGAATGTATTAAATATACGGCGTGCACACATTAGCCTTTCATTTACCTTTGCGATGCTGTAAGTGTCTGACTGTGACTGCTGCATTCTCTATTTTGTTTTAGAAATTATGATTGTACAATTATGTAGTGATTATATTCCTGTTGATGGAGCACAATAATTGACTGGACTTTCTAAAAAGCTAGCATAGTATAGCTATTTAACTATTTGATGTTAGTAAAAATAGCAAATAAGAAAAGATGTAACTTACTGAGTCATCATTCAGTCCAATAATCACTTTTTTCTTCACATTTTCATTTTTTTTCTGTTATTTCATACTCAGCTGGGCATGCAGACATTGACTTGATGTTTAATTATTTGTGTTAGCAGTAATAAATAGAAAAAGTAAAGCTTGAACCTTTATGAATGAATTGTAGCACACACTCTGTTGTTGTTAATGGTTTCTTCTGCAAAAATGAACCCATGTTGGCAACATAATTTTTTCAAAATATAAACACAAATTTGTAGCTTTTATCACAGCTGGAAACATCCACAACTGTGAAAAATGTCATTTTTATTTTTCATTGAGGGCCTACTGTATCGTCACCGTCAGTTTAGACATTAAAGTGAAAATCAAATGTCAGTCCTGCTGATTACTAAAGTTGCTACAGGAAATATATTTGCAAAATTAAAAGCAGGTGGAAATGCAAGGGTCTGAAGTGAAAGCCACAGTAGCGTGCAGAGCTCCATTTTATGTTTATTTGCATCACGTTTGTGGAACATGACACAGACTCACCAGAAAGAGCCAGAAGGAGAAAAGAAACTTACCTGTTCCCTGTGAGCAATACGTTTTTAAACAATGACTAAAAAACAATTACAGATATGGTTAAAACTGGTACATTGTAAACTGACATGCCTTGAAAGATGAGTTCATTTTAATGAGCAATGCACACTTTTATTTGTCATATCAAATCTACTGTATATGGGGGAAAAAAGTGGAATTCACAAGGTTTGAATGTATTGATAAATACATAGCTGCTTTTATTAATCAGGAGACCAAAGAACATTTCAGATAGGATTATCAACAAGACTGGCTGTTTTTTGTAACCTATGTGGCTCATTGGTCTCTAATGTCTTTCCGCTATTAGTGAGCTATAGCTAGTGGTATTCTCCAGCTGAGACAGATGTTGAAAAAGCTGAGAGTCTGACATGTTCTTACCACTTCCATCACTGCCTCATGGTGTAGTTCAAACACGTGCACCAGATCCAAGACACTGAAATTATGTAGTTAAGCTTCTGTTGCTCTTTCATGTTGAAAATATGTTAGCCCATCTAGCTGAGTTACTGAATCAGAGATGATGCTATGGAACCAACTTGAATTTTAAAATAAACCATAAAAGTATTTGACTTTATGTTGTTTGTGTAATAGTAGCAGAATAGCAGATTAAATTTTGCCATGGAAGGGACAAATGTTGGCGAGTACCTACACGTTATGGTTTATTAGTTCTGTGCAAGTTAGCTTTGAGCCGTGCCAGGTTAATTGTTCTGTTGTCCAGAATATATTCTCCTAGCGCATCAAATTTTGAGCGTCCTCACTTGGTCAGCTGGCTGCCTCCTTGGTACTCTGCGCAGCACATAAAAATCAAAAAGTTGTACAAGAACTTGTTCTGGAACAAGCGTGGCTGCTAGATCTTTGACTGTCTGCACTGCTGAACATGATCAAAAATATAAAGATATACAGTAGTCCCTCTGTACTTCGTGGTTCGTTTATCGCAGACTCGCTCTATCGTGGTTTTTCAAAATAAGATTGGACATGACACACAACTGGCTGATTGACGGATGAGCCGCACGATCGGCATGGAATTTTTATTTAAAATAAATTATTTTAAATGATTTAGTACCTGCTGCACATTTGTGCAACCCATACTGCAAGATAAACTTCATACTGCAGCTGATCAGCTGTTCTCTGTGCAGAGCGGAGAAGTGGGCGTGGCCAAGAGCGCTTGCAGGTGGCTGAGAGCAGCAGAGGCAGGGAGCTGAAATGATGACATGCTGTGCTCTTTCAGAGTGTTTTAGAGTTTAGAAACATTGTTTAGAATATTGTAAGATTGTGAGAAGGGTTTAAAACACCTTAAAATATATATTTATACATATATAAATACTATAATAAACTACTACTTACTACTTGTACTACTATTCCTACTTCGCGATTTTTCACTTATCATGGGTCTTCAGGGTACGGATCCCCTGCGATAAACGAGGGACTGCTGTAGGTGTTATTTCTTCTTTTGTTGATTATACATTAAATAATTGGATTCTGGAGAAGTATAATTTTTATTATTATATAATTATCTTTTTTTTTTTTTACCTTGATTTAACCAGGCAAATCCCATTGAGATCACTAATGTGTTTTGCAAGGGAGGCCTGGGCCTGAAGGCAGCCTAACATGCATGTTTTTGTGGGAGTAAACCAGAGTACCCAAAGAAAACCCACGCAAACACAAGAAGAACATGCAAACTCCACCCAGATAGCCCCCATGTCCAACCAGGGATTGTCCCCACAACCTTCTTGCTGTGAGGCAACAGTGCTAACGACTGAGCCATCGTGCTGCCATAAGTTTGTTTAAGATGTTTAAGTGAGGGCACATTATAGAAAACGTAACATTACCGCTGCATCACATTTGATGGTGGCAAACAAGGAAACAATTACATGTAAACTATTTAGTAATGAATTGCTTTAGAGCAAAACAGATCCAACTCATGTTTTGTTAATGTTTTGCGACCCTGTTCCTGTGGTTTGATTGACAGGTATATGATGGGGAGAACACTTCATCCCGTCTCCTTGGCAACTTTACACTTGACGGGATGCTGGGTCATGGCATCAACAGCACGTCCAATCACCTGTGGCTGGAGTTCAACAGCAATGCATCTGGAACCAATCAGGGCTTTCGCCTCACATATACAAGTGAGTTAAATGCAGATATATTTAAATGTTTTAGGTAAAATAGGTGTATTTAAATGCTATAAATAGCATTTTTTTTCCTCCTTTATAAACACCATACACACCACACTCATCTAAGTTTAAAGAGAGCCTGTTAAGAATGCACAACCAGATGCTTTGTAAGTCAAAAAGGCTATTAAGAGAACATTTATCTGCAAGTCATTTAAAGAAGGTGAGAATGACATCTGGAGTGAAACGCTGGCTGTATGGGGGGGACAAACGAATATAAATTGTATATGGATATTATATGGATATTACTGATGCTCTGTATGTGAGTAAAACCATTAAACGACCCTCTACCTGCAAGCCATTAAACTGGAGAAGGTGATACAGATGAGTTCATGCTTAGATAAAAGTGACTGATAGATTTAGGTTAAAAATAGAGAAAGGAGGAGGGCAAAGAACAATAGTTTGAGATTGTGCAGCAAAGACTGTTTTAATAGAGCAATAAGAATTCACAGAACAAGACAATAACAAGAAAGGTTAACAGAAGAGAGCGCATCTGTTTAATGGATTATAGGGAGAGACTGACATTTGTGGACATATTGTACAACCGTATGTAAACGTAGAAGTTGCTTCTTGTGTAAGTGATGCAAGGTTATGTAAAGGAATAGCCTCCAGTCAACAATTTGGAGTCTACTTACTGTATCTGCAGACAGTTTGTCCAAAAATAAGACAACCGGTTGTTCTATCTGTGACTATATTGCTTGCATGTGATGAAGCTTGTTTGTGATGCCATACAAATTAGTTACACACTTCATCAAAAGATTGTCACAGAGAATTGTTCAAGAATTTGTACAAGTTTATTTCATTTGACAATGTCTTACTTTAAACACCTTGAAAGTCAGTCCTGCTTATCTCCACATCCCACCTCTCTCTCTTTTTTTTTTTATTTATTGCAATATGAACAATAAGATTTACATGCTGCTTGTCTGTTTCTCAATACTTAATCATCGCTTTACCTGCTTCGCATGCTCTGCTGTGCGAGGACCATAAAACTGCTGAGCATGCAGGATCAGATGCTTTTGATCATATGAGGACTCAATCCACTGTAAAGTCAGAATAGAAATCTAATCTAGTAAATACCAGAAACCAAACTCTCTGTAGTAAAGCCAGCATCAGTCACAAAAGATAAAACACTGTGTAGGTGGCGGCATCTTTTTTCCACAGCTTGTTTAGTTCCTTGGGGAATGAGCTGTGTTCAGATAGGGCTTACGTTGGCACAAACAGCTCTTAAAATAATAGAATCTTTACTGTAGTGACAGGCTGGTTTTATTCAGTGTTGTTTTTTTTTTTTCACCCCCCACCCCCAAACAATAGTTTTAGATTACACATCAAATGCAGTCAAAAGTTTTAGTTTAGTCCTTGGCTGAAATTGGCTGTTCATTTGTAAATAATGCAATAAAATGTGTTCATTCAGCAATATTGTCAGCTAAAAATATTTAGGTTAGATTAATTAGGCACAGCTAACAAAAAAATAAAATAAAATAAAAAAATAAATAAGGGAGCTGATTGTTTTGTGACCCTCATCCTGTTAAAAAAAATCAATTTGGAGTTCAAGCTGACATCTAAAATTAAACTGGGACATCCCCGCAGATCACCAGAGATCATGAAATCTATTTTAATAGAATTTAATAATATAAAAGATTCAGCCAGTAAACAATTCAAACCACCCCGAACCCTGTAGTAGTGGTTTCAGCTTCTACAATAAAATGCAAACTTAAGCAAACTGGCCCCACAGATAACGCAGCAGAAACTTTCACAATCTCTTTGGGAAGCGTTGTAGACAGAGAAAGCTAAAGTAGAGATCTTTTAGATAGCACTGCATCTGTTTGTTTACAGGCAATAAAATAATGCACATATGGGCCCAACACTGTAGCTACAGTAACATATACTGAGAGTTTGATCATGCTGTAAGGCTGCTTTTTGTACTAGAACGTTTAAATCAAAGATCACTTGAGTTTTTGAAAGCTGTCTGTCTTCAAATAATATCCATTCAGGTATGCAAAAGCAAGAGCTTAAGTCTTTGAACATGGCCAACTGTGTTTCCTGAACCAACTTAAACTGAACATGATTAAAGTGGACTGTTTTTCTTTCAGCTACTTCCTTCTGCAGGGGTCACCATAGCGAGCAAAGTTGCATGAAAGATTTAGCCATTGTTTCATGTCTAATGCACTTTTATGATGCAACCTGGGCTTGAACCTGCAACCTTTGATAGCAGCACTGCCCACCAAGCTACCACATCCACTTTAAAGGGAATGTTGTATAATGTTTGAATGAAGTGCAATAAATTCACTTCAAAACACCCAACATACTTCAAATACTTTCTAAAAGGTTTTAAACATAGATCTTTACTGTATAGGCTCCTTCTCAAAAGTTGTGCAATAAAATTTTAATGAGTTTAATTTATTGCGTCTAGAATAGATGTGTTTGTAATTTTAAGCATAGTCGATTAATGTTAATGTTAGTGTTTAAATGTTTAAATTAATAATTAAACAATACAAAAATGGTTATTTGCAATCCTTTCTAAAATATTATAAAAATCGTGCTCACAGCTGCCAGTAAGTTTTACCACACAATGTATGCAGTTATAGTTTATGAATGCAAATTAGGTCAAGCAGATGCCAAAAACTAAACTCATAAACTCCAAGCTTTGACAAACATTTGAATAATAATACTTTTTTTTTGTTTGTTTCATTCAACCTTTATTTATACAGGCTAGTCTCACTGAGCCGCGAGGACTCATTTACAAGAGAGACCTGTTCCAAACCGAACATATAAAGTACAGACAACAATAAGAGTAAACAATAATAACAATAAACTACAAGAAAAAGTGCCATTGTGTCACTTTTACATTGCAGCAACATGAACTTCAACGATCTGCTAAATGTTCTGTTAAAAAAAGATGTGATTTACTGGTTGGAAAAAGGTTGGTGTCATTACTGAGCATTTGTCCACATATTTTAAGAATATGTTCTTAAAATGTTGTAAAATCTTACTATGTCTTTATCTTTAAAAGCAATATATATTTGTCTTTAATGCACATTAACCATATGATTTACCAATAGTTTCACAATTTTACAAGCTGTACATTTTTAAATACCAAATACTCATAAAATAAATTTAGATGCTGTTATTAAATCTTTTATGTAACTGATATATATGTTTTTTTTGTTTTTTTTACAATACTATGAGTAGAGCATCTGGAATGGTTCTGCAAGTTATAGAATTATTATTACTTTTAGGCTGCTCCCATCTTTGGGGCTTGTCTAAGTGAACAAACTCTTATAAAAGTTAGTAACTCTTTAGTCCCAATGTCCTTCCTGATGCCCAAACCTGCAGTCTCACTATTATAATCCTGCAATACTGTCCAAAGAGCTGCTGCAGTCCATATGTTTCAGAATTATTAAGGTATTTAATGTCAGTGTGTCGTTAAAAAGTTGAGGGATTCAGGTCAGCATGACTTGCTGATGTCTTGCCTAGAACTGTATCACCTTGTTCATTTATGGTTTCTCAAGAAGACCCAATCTGCGCATTCAGATTTATGAGCAAATTCTTATCTCTTTCTCCTTTCATGTGTCCTTTTTAGGTTTTGAGCTAGTGCGCTGTGAGGAACCCGGTGTCCCTAGTTATGGGTACAAGATCCAGGATGATGGTCATTATGCCAACACATTTGTCCTGTACTCTTGCAACCCCGGATACAGTCTCCATGGCAGCAGCACACTGACCTGTCTTAGTGGTGACAGACGTGTCTGGGACAAGCCACTTCCTTCATGTATTGGTTAGTATGCCAGTCCGCTCCCTTATGCATTAATAATTCAGGGCTTCAGCAGTTTAATTATTAACCTTTGAGTGCTTTTTTATTTTCATGCAGTTCATTGACAGCGAAAACAAAATTAAGCAACAGTCTTAGAAACTTTTGATTTAGCTGTAAAATTACTCAAAAACAAGTCTGTGAGCAAATGATTGAGTCAACACATTTGAATACTTTTAAAAAAGAGCTGGTGGGGACTCAACAACTCTGTCAGAATTTGCCTTTTTGCTTCATCTGTAAATAAGATCATTGACATGTTTAATACTCTTCAATACTGTGTTGAAAACCTTTTTTTTTTCTCAATGCCAAATACCGGTACTAAGCATACACAAACAATTGTATACATACACACAGACAAGACTGAAGGTAATGTGTAACATAAAAAAAACACACATTTATTCACTTGTAACCAGCTTATCTAGTAGTTTCATTGTGAATTACAGCTGAAGTATCAAACAAAGGTGTTCACACCAGTGTATTACCTTTGCGGTGTTTGTGAACAAACACAAACTTGTGTGCAGTTGTGACTTTATCAAATAAAACAAGTCATTAAGATACATTTATGTATTTTAAATTACTCTGTTTAACATGATTAATTCCACCTGGAAAGATGTTCTTTTTCTTTAATAAATCAGCCTATTAAAATTAATCAACATCAAAGTGTTTGGAACAGATGGAACAATATGTTCTGTCGATTGTAGCCAGATTTTAAGCCAATTATAGGGTGTGAAAGTGATTCTTAAAGTGTGAAAACAAATATAAAATTGTTTACTTTTGTTACTATATTCTTATTAGGCACATTTAGTCAGAATCAGAATAAGCTTTATTATCATTGTACTGAGATACAGCGAGAATATGTCCGTGAAGTCGTCCGAAAGATGGGCGGAGTGCACGTATCTGCTGCTCTTTGAGAGCGCGGCCTATTATCCTTTTCAGAATACATTTTTTTTAGATAGAAAAAGGGACAAAGCCATGAGGAGAGGATAGTAGCGTTACAAAAAAAGATCTCTTCACACCTTGTCCTAACAGGACATGATTTAAAACATCAAAAACTCTGCCAGCAGCACATTTATGAACACGTTAATATGCATTTGACGACGAGGCGGTCCATGAAGCAGTAACAGATAGTCCATTGTCCTGATGAGATGATGGTCAACTGGCACAGTTCTGATAAGCCTCCACAGAAGTTCTGGGGGGGAGGGGGTGCGATAGACAAAGCTTTTCCTTAGTTTACACATTTCCCAGGAGAAATTGATGTCGGCCTGTTTTCAAGGCCAACCTTGGGAGTCGGATTCAGATAAGCCACAATTGTTGATTTTTACAGGCAGACTATTTTTCTTCTCAGCCTTGAGTCTGTACTGGTACTTCCAAGATTCGAAACGGCCAGATTAGGGTGCATTCTACTGGTCCGTGATTACGAGCTGCTCCAAGCTCATTTTATGCTGGCGAGTCCCAAAGCCGCAGGTGACCTGCGATTCAAATCACTTCCATCTTGCGCTTTAGCTCGTAAATCAGCTGATTTTGAGTCCTCAAAGCACGAACCAAACCTTCACATAGGCAGCAGCCTGACCAGGCCAGATTAGCTGCAGCCGTTTTCTTTGCATGTTGACAAACCAGGAACCAGGCAATTCCAAAAACAGGAAACCTGTTATCATAAATCCAGTTATATGCAATTTTGGCATCCTCAATCGACAGCAGAGATATATTTCATCTAGTGTTGTTACATTAAACATTTCCGACTAAGTTAATACCTTGTAAGCACAATAAGCATTTGCAAACCTATTTTTAGGATATAGTATTAGTTGTAGATACTTATAATGCAGTGATAAAGTATAATATCATATGCTAAAAAAATAAATTTACAAATGCTTATTGTGCTCACAAGTTATAGATGAAATGTATAGGTGAACAGATTTGGCTCACTATTTGGCAATAAACTGGTCAGTTTTGTCTATGTCACCTTTATTTAATGCTTAATAAGCAGTTATTAATGATTTATAAAGTATTAAGTTTATAGATGTATTAATAACGTATCTACTATTTATTAGCTTCTGTAAGGGGAGCCTTATTGTAACGTGGTACCAAAAATTCTATCTTGTGAGTAAATGAAGGTACAGTACATGATATTTTTATTGGGAATTCTGTGCCAGTGAACCACGTGCTTTGTGATATTTGTATTTTTGGTAGAGGAAAAAGTACCCTAACGAGTGGAAAAATATTTTTGATTGAAGAAATATAAAGTTGTGCATGTCAGTCAGGCACACATGCATTTGTAGATGCTTTATCTTTTTTATGTAGTCCAACAATCAGGAAAATTCAAACTCTGTCTATAGCTACCTTTGTTCTGTTCTTTGCGCTCGTTTAAAAAAAAAATATTTCTGATTATATTTTTTGTGTCTGTCATTTTTTCCGGTCCTTCACACCTATGTGCATTAACATAAAGCTCTCAAAATGGCCTTGCCTCAGGCTGCTTGGTCGTTTTTTTTTTTTTTTTTCTCTGCAACCCCCACATTTAGTGAAATGTAGTGGTGGGCTATCTCTGCTGGCTCCCATAAAAAAAAAAAATAATATATA